CTGGATAGATTTGATCTATTCCGGGTGATGATGCTGTGAGTGTGTAGTGTTGGAGGAGTGTGTTCAGTCAGTGTTCATGTCTAGGAGATGATGGTGGAGTTCTACTGTATAACAATTGTGTTGCAAATTTTAGTTCCAGTTCTAAACTGGGAGGCCATCTAATGTAGTGATGTGCTATTGTGAGATGTAAAGGCGTCTTGAATTGTCTTTTCACCCATCTCCCGAATCTCAGGTTACGTTCTAACAATCATGAAGTCCGGTTGTCCCAGCGTCCGTCCTCCGAGGAATTGCAGAAGTAAACCTGACAGAAGCAAATGCAGAGAGAACCAGTTCATTTTGATGTTTGCAACAGTTTCAAATTCAGACATGTGGTCGACACTTTCGTTTGCTTGCTCCATTATCATGTCCATAGCAATTTTAATTCCAGCTGTCTGTCCCATGAAACCAAGTTTCATTGACCAGATCTGAATTATTGCTGTTGTTGCTTCAGTGTGCGACACCTAAACACTGCTCTTGCAGTCAGCCGTCACAGCATTAGAGATCCAAGTTTCCGGGTTTTAAACTTCAAGTTGCTTTCATTACAGCCAGATCTGTGGGCATGAATTATTTCATAGTGCCATTCACACATTTGCTTAGTGATGGTCTCTCGTTACCTCTGATGTTTAGTTCACACCCTCCTTGGATGTGTGTTCAGGAGGCAAACTTAGGAAAAGCAGCCAAGTCTTGTACCGCTCAGATCAAGGGAAGTATTTCTTAAAAATAAATCAAAACTATTTTGCCCACATTTGTCCAGAATACGGTTTTATGGTTAAGACGAACATTTGTTTTTATCTGGACGCCCTCCTGTGGTGAATTGTGTGAATTACACTGCTGCAACTTATTTCTACAGCTGTGACTGCAGTCAGAGGAAAACTTTGAGTTACAATATTTTGTAACTTTTAATAAATTGTTGGTTGCCATGTGACGCAGTAAAACATCTGGCAATTACCTTTCAAATTTTCTATAAATATATTTTACATCCGCGATCAGGAGCAGTTCTAGGGTGAGTGGATATCTGGGGCTTAACCCAGAGAAATCCACGTTTGTGTCACGATACAAGGAATAAACTTTAAATAAAATGTTTTTTTTTTAATAAGGTGAATATTTCTTGCTAATTAAAATTAAAAATCACAATGCCACGCACCCTCTTGTTTCCTTGCTGACTCATCTCAGACATGGTTGGCAAGCTCAGCTCTATTATTGTTTTAATAAATAGCATTTACTTAACAACGTGATTTTTGTGAGAATAGATAAAAAGAGGTGACTAAAGAACCTCTATAATAACAACAAAAAAATCTTGACCCATTCTTCATGCACACATTACATTTTAAAGACTAATAAGACTACCTACCTTACCTTTTGTGTGTGCGCCGCGCGTGCACGTCCTATTGACTGTGCTGCACAAAGTGTTTGACGATCAAAATGTATATCTGACAATCTAAAGAAAGAAATCTAATACTACGATTAAAAGTTATAGATACCTGCTGAAGCTGTTGTATCTTGTTTTAGTAATGGCTGGGGGTGTTTTAATTCCTTTTTCTTTTTTTTTGGAAGAACTTTGATAGCATCCATTTTACTCGTTCATTACTAACTTCTTGCACATCAACAAACACCTGGCTCCAAAATATTTAATTTCATTGGCTGCATCGTACAAGACCGCCGAGCTTCTCATCGATGGTTGGCCAGTTTACATGTCAGTCAGAAGCACTAGCCTGAGTGGGCGGTTCTTGTCGGTTGTGAATGACAATGCGTATGTTGACGGACGCTGTGATGCGAGAGTCGAGAAATATACATTTAATTAATTAAATTCTCTCAGTGATGGTGTGTACAATGCAAGGAAATAAAAACATTCGGGGCTTTACTGAAAACAGCCCCCTTAGCCCACCCCTAGCGCCGCCCCTGTCTGCGATATTCTGTTGAAAATGGAGTTTAATCGCCCTCCTGTGGTGAACTGTGTGAATTACACTGCTGAACCGTATTCAGAGCGCCAGAGGAAAACTGCACTAAACTCTGCACTTACTTTGCATTTATTTCACATTGTTTGATAAATTATTAATTTAAAGCGACATAGTAAAAAAATCTAGAAAAGTTCACTTTTGTTTAATGGAAATATATTCTTATCTGTAATATCAATGTCAAGACTCACGTCTAAACGCCCTCCTGTGTTGAATTGTGTGCATTACACTGCTGTTAATTATCTCATTTCTGTTAAAACCTTTTATTAAATTATTTGCATTGATTAAAATCCTTTGATAAATAATTGAAAACCTCTGGCAAACATGTAGTTTTAAAATGAAATATATTGTTGGATGTATAAACTAAGGCAAAATTATGAAAAATTGATTGTATCATTCTCTGTGTATTGTATACTGCCTCCCGATTTGTTAAAATAAACAAATACATTATGTAATTTTAAAAAGTCCAATGTCTTGATCGAACTGTGGTGAATTCATGTGAATTACACTCCTGTTAATTATTTCTACCTAAAAATGTCTACCTACTTCTAGTTAATTCAAGTCAAAGGAAAACTTTGCATTACATTATTTTACATTGATTTCGTGTTAAATAAATCGTTCGTTACCACATGAAACATATGACCCCTTTTATTTATGCTATAATAATTGTACGTATTTTTAAATTTGAATTGAAAACGCCCTCCTGTGGTAAAATGTATTAATTACACCAGTGAAACATTTTTTTCTACAGCAGTAACTCTAGAGGAAAACTAGCTTGATTAAGAATTATTCTTATAAAGCCCCGTTGATTCAGACATTTTAATAACAGAAAAAAATATAAGCGCAACAGAATAAAAAATGCAGCGAGAGCATTTTAATGTTATTTTGTGTTGAATGTAACAAAATATGGACTTTAATCCACGATGTAGTATTTGTTGGCTTATTTTATAATGCTCTAAATTACAGTTTTTCCCCATTCATTTCTATGGGTGCCCATTTTTGACCCAAATACAAGATTAAGAAGGTTTTTTTCCACCCACTTAACATTGTAGAATTGAGTCAAAAAAAAAATATTGTGTGTGTTCAGGAGCCAAACTTAGGAAAAGCAGCCAAGTCTTGTACCGCTCAGATCAAGAGAAGTATTTCTTAAAAATAAATCAAAACTATTTTGCCCACATTTGTCCAGAATACGGTTTTAGGGTTAAGACGAACATTTGTTTTTATCTTGACGCCCTCCTGTGGTGAACTGTGTGAATTACACTGCTGTCATTTTACCCATAAACATTTAAAGATTTGAGTCAGCGAAATAGATAAATCGACTCTGCAAGAATTCTGGTGTGTGTTCACGTGAAATGAAAAAAGTTCAAACGAATATTATTCTCTCCAACGAGCCAAAGGTAACGTTAAGTTAGAGTATAATTTAATATTGAACCAAACATGAATGACGAGTCACGCAGGTCCTGTGCTACTCCGCAGCGGTAAGACCAGAACCAGTATAAAATAGTCCGAATATAAACGCTTATTATAGGTGTACCACAGTGATTCAGGATAAGACAAAGCACGATTTGGACAACTGATACATGTACCCGCTCATTATATAAACCTTTGAACATTTTGAACACAAAAAGCTAAGCACTAAAACTGATTGAGCCATCTCTATCATCTGGTTGAGGTGTATTATGCCAAAAAATCCACTAGATTTCACAGCGTCAATCAACAGCACTTGTCACAACACTTCTTCTAACATGGATGTCTAACACTTCTTCTAACATGAAACAAATAAATCACCCCAGCCATGTGAACTGTTTTTGGTGAAATTTTGCAAGCTAAGCATATTACATATTCCACTGTAAGAGCCTTAACTTTACAAAATGATGTTTTGTAAATAAAATAAAATAAAATAATAATTTGTAAGAGTACTACACCAACAATAATCATTCAATATCACTTAAGTGTACATGTATATTTCTAATAATGCTGTTTACATTACATAAGAGCTAGTATGATAAACTTTAAAGCAGTTTAAATTTGCCATTAAATACATGCATTTCTGTATTATCACTTTGAATTCATAAGATGTAGGTTTTAAATGGTCTCGCCAAATCTCACCAAAATCCCTATTCATTTTAAAGATATAAAACTGATGATGTCAGTTTATGTTTGAATATAGAATGTAAATTTTAGATGAAGTTGTACAGACATCAGATCCTCACTCATTTCTTTGTAAAGTTTGTAAAGTAAAGAAAGCCTAAAGCAATGTGATGTGATGCTTGTCAAAGTAAAAACACACAAGAGACGGAGACATTGATCATGTGAGGCTGGACGGCTGTGAGCTGAAGCTGGAATCTGCTCTGATTATTCCTGCGTTTTACAATCTCTGTACAACTATCAGTCTAATTTTGTTTTAACAAATTCTAATGATTTTCTACTGATGCAATTCATAAACTTGTTCAATAAAGTTGTTTATTCTTTAGTTTTTCCTCCAGAAATCACTAAAGTACAAGCCCCGCCCCCCAGCTGATTCAAGAGATTTCATTGGTCAAGCCAAGTCACCTTCATTTATACAGCGCTTTTTACAATAGAGATTTTACAAAGCAGCTTTACAGTCATGATAGGAAATTATAGCAACATTTAAACAGCAGCTCTAGAAGAAAGCCATTGTCCAGTTTAAGTAATTTCAGGGGTGATTAATTTCCATTGTAAAAATAATTTATAGGGCCATTTACACGACACAGTTTTAACAGAAAACTTTGAATCAATTCTGGTCGTCCATTTTCATGACACAAGTTTCAAACAGGTTTCAAAGAGCAAGTTTTTGAAAAAGATATCATTTTCATCTCTGTGTAAACTTCAAAAACATGAAAACGGTGAAGCCGTACACATGAATATATCATGTTTAGTCTAGGTATGTGCATATGAATGTGTGTTTGCATGGCGCACACTCTTTCTTTACGAAGTGATATCGCCAACTACTTTTCTGGTCTGCATAATGCAGCATTTTCAGTCTTTGTTTTTACCTTACTAGAAGTTATGTAGCACATCATGGTAGTGAGTATTAGTTTTTTTTCTGAAGTCTGATCTTTCTTGGCAGGAGACTGTGATTGGCCAATGATGTTGAATTAGCTGTGGGGTGGGCTTGTGCTTTACTGGTTTTCAATCAATTTAAATTTTGCCCACATAGTTTCAATAAAACTTAATGATATTTTCCTTGCACAAATGTTGAAAGACTGTCAGAGATAATGAAAGTATCTTTATCATCACTGATGTTTACTCACCTGTACAGTTTGAGTCTCGTAACACGTCTCTGAGCTGCTTTGAGTCTCTGATCTTATTGCCTCTCAGATCAAGCACTTTTAAAAACTGCAGTGCATTTGAGTTCGTCAAAGACTGAGTTAAAGCAGAAACATCTGTAATGCCACAGTCCTCTAGGCTAGAACGAGACAAACAGACAAAGATCATCTTACTTTCACCAGATCACAAAACACGACTAAGGTGAATTATTTTCCACAAATACACTGTAAACAGTCTTTTCAGGAGAGACTGAGAATAAACGTATTGAACACTTTGTTGAAGTGTTTGTTAAAGAGATTCTCCTCACAAGGTTACAGTTGGTTTATAGATGATGTTATGGTTTATTGTTTATAAAGTTTCTCTCATCAACACCTATCGTTTTGCTTCAGAAGACTTTAATTTATCAACTGGGGTGGAATGGATAACCGCTGTGTTTGCTTTGTGTGTTTTCTGAAGAATCATCTTTGAGGTCCAGTACACTTGTATAGACTCATAGAGACAGATTATTTATCTAAAAATATTGGACTTCATCTGAAGAAAGTCATATAAAGCTGAAATGGCATGAGGGTGTGTAAATGATAACATTTTCAGTTTTGGGTTGAGTATCTCTTTATCGCTACACTACACTACACTTTTGGTAAAAAATTAAAGGGAACTCCGACTAGTGAGGCATGTTGGCCTTATAAGATTAACATGGACGTCGGCTATAAAAAGGTGATACAAAAACACTCCAAATGTTTTTGATTTTAATAAAAAAAGTCGAAAATCCATTCACTGGTAGGCCGCCATAGTTATTTACATCTCAATGCATTCTGGGTAGTGACGTGTAAAGGTTGTTGCTGGCCCAGTTTTGACAGTAGCGAGATGAACACGTCTGCCGTTCAGCCTTTTCAGTTTGAACCCGAGCGCACAGTAGGCTTAAATCAAGAGAATAAATGCGGAAAATGACAGGCATACTCAATAGTTACATGAAAATTAAGATTATCAGAGAGTTGAAGAAGCGAGAGTGGGGCAAAATAGATGGTGTCTGCGGCAGTGGCCAATGCCAAGCGAGAACGAGAGCGTTTGCTGTAAAGAGCTCCACTTTTTGTCAGCAGCTGTCCAGGGTAGGCTGTATAGATAAGACGATCGTACTATCAGTATAAATAATTTAATAAGTCATCTACCGCCATCGTGTGCTTCCCTAAGCAGTCACTCACTATGTTGAACGCATATTGAAATAGCTGCTCTCGGACCTTGTTCAAAATCCTGCCGCGCCACAGAGCACCATTAGGTTACATAGTTTTATATTAAATTTAAATTATTTGTCTCAAATCGTTATTATGTATTTACTGACTTCACCCTGCGCAGCAATTAGGGCTGTAATCAACCAAAGAAATCCTTAGTCGACCAAAGTCGTGTCCTGCCCAACGATTAGGCTAGTCGACCTAAAAAAATTAAAAATTAAAAAAGACGGGATGATTTGATTGAACACATTTTTTAACAATTGTCATAGAGCATTTATAAAATAAAAACGAAAAAACATCAAAAATACATAAAACTATAATAATAATAGAATTCTTTGCATATTGAGAGATTTTTTAACTGCAAAGTGAGGAGCTCTGTATAGTAACAATCGCGCACCTGACCACTGCTACACGCTACAAAAAATTGCTATCTGCCACATAATGAAAAATCCTAACAAAAGCTCTCGTTATACAGGCTGTATATTCATCTTTATTTTCAAAGCTATGGGTTAACTTTTGTCCAGCCGATCTATGCGTTTTAAATCAAACGAACACAAAAACAAAAGCCCAAAAAACAATCCTAATAATAATTAGCTGTATTGTAGGACCGCATATAGGTTTATGTTCGTTTTGTTATATTATTTAGGCTATTTTCGATTGCGTAAAGTGTACAAATAAAAACAAAAACATATCAAGAAAACACAATCTATTGAGTCAGCATGATAAAGATGACGTGCTCTTTTTTCCCAAGTGCGTCCACGCCGCATCGAGATAAAAACATATAGTGTATAAAAACCTAAAAACCAAAACAAGTAGCGTTCTAACTGAATGAATACAGCTAAACTATATCGCTTACTGAGCGCGCAGCAGCAGCGCAGACAGCCTCAGGTGCGAACCGAGTGTTTGTGTGTGCGCTAAACTGTGGTGCTGTTACAAAATAGCCTAAATTAAAGTATTTAAAGTTGGGGATAAAACATAGGCTAATTATATTTAGAATACAGTAATATATACCTGCTTATAAAGGAATATATCAAGGAGTAAATCATTGAAAATTTCTTTCTATAAGTAAAAATAAATGCAACAATATGAATGTCAGTCGACCAAGACTGATTAGTCGACTAAACGGCTAAAGTTGACAGCAATATACATTTAAGATTACATTTATTTACAGAAATCAGCTGGTTGAATGAAAATGGCTGATGTTACCGGATTTTCAGGTGATGATATTCTCAATTCATTCAGTTAACTAACTCATCTAGCTAGCCGGTACGTTGGAAAAAACAAAAAACAAAGCAGCTACAGCGGCTAGGCTCAACCGACTGCAACCATTACACGTCACTACCCAGAATGCATTGAGACGTAAATAACTATGGCGGCCTACCAGTGAATGGATTTTCTACTGTTTTTTATAAAATCAAAAACATTTGGAGTGTTTTTGTCTCACCTTTTTATATCTGACGCCCACGTTAATCTTATAAGGCGAACATGCCTCACTAGTCGGTGTTCCCTTTAAAACTCACTACTGGAGTTACTTTTCTCTGTGTAAGTGTGTATGATGCAGGTAATGTCCAATGAAATCCACACAAACAGCTCTAACATACAGTTCAATATTACAGGTTTATCAAAGTGTATAAGGGTTATTTTGTAAATTAATAATAAAAAAATGCATAGTGTAGCTTTAAAGATGTTGATTGTTTTAGTCGTTTTGATCTCAGGCACAAAGCACAACCAGGCCTGGATATATGGGGTTTGAGCTTCTGTTGATCTCTAAACTAGACAGAGCACTTCCAGCACTTCTAAACAGATGGGGAGAGTTTAGAAATAGACGAAATTGCTACAGATGTTACTATTGTAGTGTGTGTGTGTGTGTGTGTGTGTGTGTGTGTGTGTGTGTGTTATTAGATTCCACAGATCTGCAAAAGGAAAGAGTCGAATAACAGATGTGGGTCTCATAAACGTGTGATTCTGAACTACATGAATATTAATATTAAACAAAATATGAAATCCAAAATGTGGTTTGTCCATAAGAGAAGTATGAGAACCACTGTTGTGTGTGAATGTTACTAACTGTAGTTTCTCCAGTTTACACTGTGAATCCTTTAGTACGTCACATAAGTAATTCACTCCTGAGTCTCCTAGTTTATTCCTGCTCAGGTTCAGCTCTCTCAGGTGTGATGGGTTTGATTTCAGAGCTGAAGTCAGGATGAGACTCTGTTCCTCTGTAATACTGCAACTCCCCAGACTGAAGACAGAAAGAGAAAAGACTGAAATGCTTCATCAGGCCCTTAGTTTATTCCCAATACTCTGTTTTTAAGGCTGTCACACTAGTTCTGTGTGCTGGAAGATGTCGATTCTCCTCTTTCATTTTTCTTCTATTTCTTTTATGTCTCTTTTCTTTACTCTTTATCATAGCAGGAGATTTATTATTAGCATTTACACAATCAGTACATTCTTCAAATTTAACACAATATAGACCTTAGTCAGGTTAGATGATATATTTGATTTATGTGGATGAAAATGAGGCAGTTAGAAAACAAATAATATATAGCAGAGTACTAAGATTATTACTAGTTAAAATACATTTAAAATAAAGTGTAACAGAAGGTGCCGAGCTATACACACTATTACTTGAGTCCTGTTGTCTTAAAATAAACTGTAAACTGTAATATCACAGTAACTGCTGTACAGTATAATGTTACTAACTTTAGTGTCTCCAGTTTGCACTGTGGGTTCATCAGTAGATCACTGAGGTTCTTCACTCCTAAATCTCCTAGTTTATTCCCGCCCAGGCCCAGACCTCTCAGGTGTGATGGGTTTGATTTCAGAGCTGAAGTCACAGCAGAACAACCTTCATCCGTCAGTTCACAGCGGCTTAAGCTACATTTGGAGAAATGAGAAAAACAATATCTTCATTTTGCAAAGTTACAGCATCTTCATAACAAATTAAGGAAAAATCCCAAACTGATTTTCTGCGCCCTTCAATGGCCGAGGAGACACGATCTGTAGGGACAGGGATCTGCAGGGATCTGTGGTTTTATTTGTGATATATAGGCCTATAACACACATTTTCATCTTGAATTTCATATGAAGTTTAAATAACTTAACAGGTAAGACAATTTTTTAACAGTAGATGTAAGGTAAATGTGACTATAACCGCAGTCTCCAAAGACAGGTTTCAGTGAGTCAAATTTACGACCTTTAAGACATTTTAAGACTGTAGTGAACAGGACGGCCGAGGAGCGTGAGAGAGCGGCGCGAGGCCGGTGGTGTGATTGTTAATGAGCCGCACCTGTGAGCACACCGGTCTCGCATCTCTCACAGACGAGCGGAAGAATAAAGGGGGGCGACGACGTGGATGATCGAGAGATCCTGCTTTTGTTTCTATTTTGTTATATTTTATTTCGGTAGCCAGCAGTCGTCCGTGAGAGGCTGCTGGCAGGCAGGCTATTTTGTTTGTTTATTTCAGTTAAATAAAGTTTTATTTGATTGTCCTCCGGTTCTGCCTCCTTCTTCCTTAAACCTTGCTACACTGGTGCCGACATAGATATCATATAGAGACTAGATGCCCTATTGGCCGCTGTGCACTGAGAAATCCGGCCGCCATCTTGAACCGGTCGTATTCCTATTGTGTTGTATAGCAGCAGTAGATGACAGAGCACTGTGCAGCATATTCCTGCTCAAATCGGTGGACTATCGCTCGGGAATTACTTTTCACAAGTAAGATTTAAGATTTAACATTACCGTACTATTGGTTGTATTTTGTGAATAAAATATCCCATGTGTCCTGTATCATAGCTGCATGTATGACCTTTGGAGCAAAAAACCCCGCGTGAAAATCAGTTAGTTATTCAGTGAGATATGATTCATTTAATGCGCTGACAGCTCATATCACCTGCCAAACAGATTACACTGAGCCGAGCGGATGACCGGTTTAAGATGGCGGCCCCACGGATTGTTTGTGCCAATAGGCAGTAGCGGTCAATAGGGCGTCTATCTATATGATGTCATGCCGAAACCCAGGAAGGAGGAGGCAGAACTGGAGGACAATCAAATAAAACTTTATTTAAATGAAATAAACAAACAAAACACTATAAAGAATGAAATTTAAGACATACCAAATGAACTTTGCATTACCAAAAAACATATTCAAATCAAAGAAATTCTGAAAAAATTATTTTATTTAAATGAAATCAGTCTTCAGAAAAATGATTACAGTTATCACAGAATTATGTTCAAAAAGTACTAACACTACACAGTGAAATCAATTCAACAAGTTTTATGTTGAAATCCACCAAATAACAAAAATGAATCTACTTATCTACTAACATGTACAAGTTCAAATTAAGTTTTGACAAAAAAGGCTTTATAAAAAGATAAACCTCACATATCATTTAAATCATTTTTTATAAGAATGAGTCAAAAATGATGAATTACTGACATTTACAATGCACATTAGTTTACCTTTTATTTTATCTCTGTGTCTGTCTTTGCTATGCAACCATTCACTGACAAAGAAGTTTTAGTAGCTAATGGATTTCCACTACTGAAAAACGCTTGCTGTAGCTCTGCTACAAGATTGATTAACGGAGAAGAGAAAATCACCCGTAGTGTTTGGGTGCACACATAGACAGTGAAAGAAATGGACACAGCGACCCCATAGACTTCAACGGAGAAAAGTGAAGCCCATTAGAAGCATCTCTTCCTGATGGCTGAGCGACTGCTCACACTGAGCTGGACGACGGAGATGTGACGTGATCGACCGGTCTGACCTTCTAGTAGCTGTGCCAAAACAAATCTGAACTGAAATCTGAAACAAATCTGTTGTTGAAATATTTCATCTTGTTGCTTTTATGAACTCTCTATCTTTGGGCTTCTGCCTTGACTTTATGCCTCCATGTCCCCCATGTCCAGCCTCATAGACAGTAAAAGATTGCTTGAGCTTCTCCTCCTGTCTATACGGTAATTTCTCTACTGTGTGACAGAGACTCGCTTGTTATGACGCAATCCTTAGCCTATTTTTACAAAAACTGCTTCTACAGGGCCATAACGTAAGATACAAGGTAATGGAGCCTTTTATACATTGTTGTGTTTCTTTAGAAATAAATAATGGACAAATGAAGTCTTTAAATGCCTCAGATGTAAAGTTATTCACTGTCAAAGTGACACCAAAATGAATGGGAGTCAATGGGATGCTAACAGCAGAAGTTCTGCTACAATGGTGGCTCCCGCGAGGCTTCAGCTTCCGGCTGATGGATTACACACTTGAGTGCACCCCATACTTCATGTTGACTGAGCTTTTAATGTTGTAACAGAAAGGGTGAAGCTGATTGGTTGGTTCTTGTCACATGACCTGCAGTGCGTTTGCGGCATTCTGAAAGTATAGATTTTCTCATCTCGCTGCACCTGAAAAAACAAGTGTCGCTTCAATTATGAGCGTGCTAGCCGTGCGCCTACATTAGAACTAACTTGAGCGCGATATGGTAACGCCCCCTCGGTGAGCTTCCTCCAATCAGACACGAGCTCCTGGCCGCTCGCGAGTGACGTGTTGGAGACCCCTGCTCTACAGCTCCGCTCTGTCGGCTACGACTCAATGCTTTTTTGCTACTTTGTGATAATTTTCTGGGCCAGCACTTCTGGAAATGAACGAGGGTAAAAGACCTGACTTAATTAAATTGACTTAATTAATTCTTTTTAGACTTGACTTAATTAAATTTAAAGTTTAAAGCCTTAAATTTACAATTCATAATTTTATACTTTTTAAGACCCCGCAGGAACCCTGCAAAGAAGAGAGGGCAAGTTTTTATACATTTGATAGAAGAGAGAACACCCATCACTCATAAAGCATATTTTAAAAGCTTCATTATAAAATGTATATTTATTTGCAACAATCATATTATTGTAAAATTGTTAATGTAGGAAAAGCTAATGGGCTGCTGGATGTTATACTGCGTTGTCATGGTAACATTCCAAGTGAAGATAATGAGGAAAGTACATTGAGTTTGTCTTCACCAAGTCAAAACAGCTTCATTGCGACACACAAAAGCCCTGATGCCCTTAAAGTCTCCATTTCAAGGACAATCAGAGTAAGAAGGGCATAAGGACGCTCACCTCACCAAAACTGTGAACTCAGTGTCTTGATTTAAACTGTAGAAGTGATTTTAAGGAAACATGATTGATGAGTGTGAATGTTACTGACCTCAATATCTCCAGTTTACAGTGTGAATCCTTTAGTACGTCACATAAGTGATTCACTCCTGAGTCTCCTAGTTTATTCTCACTCAGGTCCAGATCTCTCAGGTGTGATGAGTTTGATTTCAGAGCTGAAGTCAGGATGAGACTCTGTTCCTCTGTAATACTGCAACTCCTCAGACTCAAGACAGAAAGAGAAAAGACTGAAATGCTTCATCAGGCACTTAGTTTATTCCCCATACTCTGTTTTTAAGGCTGTCACACTAGTTCTGTGTGCTGGAAGATGTTGATTCTCCTCTTTCATTTTTCAACAATATCTTTTGTCAGTTTTCTTTACTCTTTATCACAGCAGGAGATTCTGCAGAACAACATCTACACAATCAGTACATTGTATCAAATTATTCAACTTTAATGCAATAGACCTTCGTCAGATTAGACTCCATACTGAATATTATGTAAATGAAAATGAGGTTGTGAGAAAAATTTAAATATACACTAGTACAATAAGATTTATTACTAGTTAAAAGACATTTAAAATAAAGTGTAACAGAAGGTGTCGAGCTATAAACACTATTACTTGAGTCCTGTTGTCTTAAAATAAACTGTAAACTGTAATATCACAGTAACTGCTGTACAGTATAATGTTACTAACTTTAGTGTCTCCAGTTTGCACTGTGGGTTCATCAGTAGATCACTGAGGTTCTTCACTCCTAAATCTCCTAGTTTATTCCCGCCCAGGCCCAGACCTCTCAGGTGTGATGGGTTTGATTTCAGAGCTGAAGTCAGGATGAGACTCTGTTTCTCTGTAATACTGCAACTCTGCAGACTGAAGACAGAAAGAGAAAAGACTGAAATGCTTCATCAGGCACTTAGTTTATTCCCCATACTCTGTTTTTAAGGCTGTCACACTAGTTCTGTGTGCTGGAAGATGTTGATTCTCCTCTTTCATTTTTCAACAATATCTTTTGTCAGTTTTCTTTACTCTTTATCACAGCAAGAGATTCTGCAGAACGACATCTACACAATCAGTACATTGTATCAAATTATTCAACTTTAACCCATTTAGGCCTAAAACGCCTGCTAAAAAAGGCCTTTTTATGCCTAAGTACTTTTCTGTAAACCCCCTCCCAAAACCTAAGGGTTTCCAGAAATATGTGTCATAATTTGTCAAAGCCGACTAAAATCTTAATTTCTCAGGCTCTATGGCAGATAAAAACATGAAATAAAAAGCATTTGAGAGCTTACTTATTTGGCTTTCAACTTGACTGACTTGCTTGGCCACAATTTTCAACTGCATTTTTTTTAAAAATCTATAAACAACAAAAACATCAAAAATATTTTGAAAATCAGTACAGATCCGGTTTTATTTAATTATTTCATACTTTCATACAAAGTGAGAAGTGAACATCACTGATACAAATTTATAGAAAACCCCCCAAAACAAAACAGAGGGTTACTTGTTCTTTATAACAATTTCTATGCAATGTATGAATTAAAAATATTTAAAATTATGAATTAAAATTATGTAAATTGTGTTTCTTGTATTTTTGGATGTCACCTTTGATAAAAGCGTCAGAGAAACCATAGCACTAAGAAACCATTGCACTAAGAAACCATAATCATAACTTGGTGTACAGATCCACAGAACAGTACAATCTTAACTCATTCAACTCAACACAACGAACTCCTCATTCACTGTCGAGTGCTGCGGCAATGCTTTCCGAAGCACTGAATGTGCAGTGGCACATTGCACTGTCTGCAGCCACACACTGTTGCACCAGGACGGGCCTCACTCTTCGACAGTGAACATTCCCTGCAGGTGCTGCGGCGCACTGAGGAGCACTCTTCGCTGTCACAGGGGTGACAAGTTCCTGTGCAAGGTCCTCCTGCCACTCTTTGTAAGCACCCTTGTAGGCTCCAGCACTCTTAGCAGCAATGTAAGAATTGTAGCAGCTGACTGACACGAAAAAGAGCCTCCGCCACCATTTCTTGGACCGATGCTGAAAAAGATAGTAGCTTGTCATCTGATCCTGTAGATCGACCCCCTTCATGTGTTTCTGATAGTCAGAAAGGCACGCTGGCACTGTGACCTCTGTCTGGATGTCTCCCTGTCTTCTCTTGACAGTCCCTCTTGCTCGTGGTAATTTGACAGTACCATAATGACTTTTGTATCTTGCCAAGCACAGAAGGTCAGGTCATCCTTCTGAGACACTTGGTACTGATGCTTATCCATGGCAGGTGGTTTTGGGGGGATTCCCTTTCTGTTTGATCGAACAGTGCCACACGCATACAGACCATGAGCCTTCAGATCTTCAAAAAGAGGCACCCCGGAATAAAAGTTATCCATAAAAATGCAGAGATGGGACCCAATGTATGGTCTAGCCAGATCCATCACAACGCGGTGAGCAAGGCCCTTCTCGCTACTCCCCCCCTCACGTCCGGTGTAGACCTGGAAGTTTGATACATACCCGGTGGAGCTTTCAGCCATAACCCACACCTTGATGCCCCACTTGGTGGGTTTGAGAGGAAGATATTGCCGGAAAGCGAGTCTCCCTTTGAATTTCACCATGCTTTCATCAATGCTGACAAAGCCATCCACTTCGTACAGTTCCTGGAATCGATCTTTTAGGTAGTCAAGGTACCATCTGACTTTCCAGAGCTTGTCAGAGCGGTTCACATCTTTACTGTTATCTTGCAAGTGGAGATACCTGAAAATGCACATAGCAAGTTGGATAGTGAATGACACATTATTGTTGTTAGGGCTGGGCGATATATCGAACGATATTGAATGCGCATCTAATCAGTAAAGCCGGTTCCTTGATTAGCAGTAAATCACCTTCACCTGCTTTCAGATGGAGCGGCATTCACTACAAAGAGCCATAGATCACTGACAAGCTGAGCCATATCGCGTTAATATCGAGGACATAGGGCTGGGGGATATATCGAACGATATTGAATGCGCGTCTAATCAGTAAAGCCGGTTCCTTGATTAGCAGTAAATCACCTTCACATGCTTTCAAATGGACGATATGAGTGTTAAATTAACCCTCAAGAGTGTTAAAGTTAATGAGATAATTAAGTGATTAATTTAGTGATGATTGAGCATTATTGAAGACACCTGATGATCACAAGCAGAATCGCTGAAGGACAAAATCACAAATTGTAAGCCACCGTTATGGAGATCAGTGTTTGCTTTAGTTGGGCTCTTGACCCTTATATTTTCACTTTAAATTTTGTGTGTCTGCTGTTATTGATTTATAACAGTCAAATAAGACATCTGTGATCTGATAGTGTTGATTATGCTTTGACATAATCATGCTTGATCTGAAAAATGAATTCTATTCTGATGATTTGCTTTAATTTGTTAGCAACAGTTTTGTGGTTGTATTGCATATCTGTATTTTTCTTATAACTTAAAACTTTTTATATATATTCTGATCAAATCACTCTCATCTTTATTTAAAAACACAGACATCAATAATCAGCCTGTGTATCTCAATTGTGGTGATAAAATTAATCCTTGTTGCCACCAATCACAACTCATTAATGGCTCCCATCATGCATTGCGGTTTGAATAAATTATGATCTGAATTGTCTATGTAATTTACTTTTCCTACTTGAATATTCTGCTCGTCACCGTTGTTGAGAAGCATTGACTGAATCTTAAGGTCTGTGTGTGCCTAAAGGAAAGGTTTTTTTCTTTTAAGTAACTTTTAAGAAATCCATCAATTATATTTAACATTCTGGACATTTATGCAGAATCTCAGTTATACACTAACCAACAGAATAAATTATATACATAAATATCGAATGATGAATGTCATTATATGACCAACATCATTTTATTATTGTTTATTTTTGTTCATCTGACAGATATAACTCAGATGCTACATCACATTAAAATATAAAATTTATAATGTAAGTAGTGATGGCCGGTTCGTGAACGAATCGTTCTTTTGAACCGGTTCTTTTTAGTGAACCGGTCGAACCAGTACACTAAATCGGACTGAATCGTTCGAAACAGTTCGCGTCTTGCGTCAGCGCTAAACCACAAGTTACTAAAGTTACTCACTTTCAGACATGCCTGACAGTCCCTCCGAATCGAAATAAACCAATATCCAGAAGTACATTTTATTCCAGTAACTCAAAAAGTTCACTGAACGGAGACATATGTTGGTGCTGAGAGAAGTGATGAGCACGAGCAGCTGATACTGCGCATGCGTGTACTACCGAACGTACGTACATCGGTCGGATAACCAGTACAGAACCGAGAAGAACTGTTTCTTTCGGACACGTTCGACATATTGAGAACTGATGAGTTGATGAGCTGAGCATGCGTGCATTTTTTTCTGAGGGACGAAATGTTTCCATGTCTTTAGTTGAACATCAGTAAGTGTAACAAAAATAAAACATTTTGGAAACATGTTTATCACATAATTACTGTATTATCACTGTATTATTTTGACGATTGGAAACAATGATTGGATTCTAAAACTGTCAAACTACTAAACATTTATTATTAGACTAAAATAATATTTTCAGCTTAGAAATTAAACAGCTCGTTTAATTTCTAAGTAACAATATAAATCTTTAATGTAAACTCTTGCCGAGGTTTTAATGGTGCACTGCTTAGTAAATGTTTATAATGTGTTAACATAACGAATTAAACATTTAATTCGTTATGTTAACACATTATAAACATGATGTATACTGCATAGGCTGCAGAAGGCTATATTAGAGACAGACATGCATCGATTTTTTAGTTTTGTCGACTGTATATTCAGGTTTCAGCTCAGCACATACAAGCCTATGCTATGGTTCTCGAGTCGAGAACTGGTTGTTGCAGCTCTTGAATCACTAGTGCAGAACCGAGAACTGTTTCTTTCGGACACGTTCGATACTGAGAACCGATGAGCTGGAGATACTGCGCATGCGTGATATCACCGTCTCTGAACAGAACTTTCTTTCGGCCGGCTGATCCTGTGCTGATACATGAGCACGCAGTAGTACGGGTGAACCCAGGACTTAAATGAGACAGCGAATCGGCGAAATGTAAGTTTATTTAATAACAAATAAAATGATGAAGACCATTTATGCATTTTATATATTTAAAACATGTAAAACATCCGCGTTAGCACATCGCCTAGGCTGCAGCAGGGTTCGTTTTCAAAATGTAAATGTAAGAAACTTATCCAAGATGATTATGACAATGCATACTATTATTTAACTGAAGTTGTGATTACAAATGCCTTTAATTTAATGTATTTTTATCCGGCGGTATGATAGAATTGACGTCATTACGTGATGACGTAAAAGAACTGGTGAACCGGTTTTTTGAACCGGTTCATTAAAACGAACTGTCCGAAAGAACCGGTTCGCGGAAAAGAACCGGACTTCCCATCACTAAATGTAAGGGTCAAGAGCCCAACTAAAGCAAACACTCATCTCCATAACGGTGACTTAAAATTTTAGATTTTTTTCTTGTGATTCTGCTTTAGGTGTCTTCAATTATGCTCAATCATCACTCATTTAATCAGTTAATTATTTCATTAACTTTAACACTCTTGAGTGTGGACTCATATACACCCCCAGGTGTGTTAGTTTAACACGGGAGATTTTGTCGTGACGAAGAGCCGTAGTTCACTGACCAGCTGAGCCATATCGCATTAAATATCGATATCGATATGTCCTCGATATTAACGCGATTTGGCTCAGCTTGTCAGTGATCTACGGCTCTTTGTAGTGAATGCCGCTCCATCTGAAAGCAGGTGAAGGTGATTTACTGCTAATCAAGGAACCGGCTTTACT